AGAAGATTGGAGAAACTTAATTTTTCGCCCAAAAAAAAAAACGTAAGGGGTAACACTGTCGTTTTTTTTTTTGGTCGAAATTTTGAGTTTCGATATCTCAGCTCTGGAAGGGTCTAGAGCCTCCATTTTTGCACTCAGGTCTAAGTCTCATGGCCCTCTATCAGAATCCAGAGTTTTGAGAAGATTGGAGAAACTTAATTTTTCGCCCAAAAAAAAAACGTAAGGGGTAACACTGTCGTTTTTTTTTCGGGTCGAAATTTTGAGTTTCGATATCTCAGCTCTGGAAGGGTCTAGAGCCTCCATTTTTGCACTCAGGTCTAAGTCTCATGGCCCTCTATCAGAATCCAGAGTTTTGAGAAGATTGGAGAAACTTAATTTTTCGCCCAAAAAAAAAAACGTAAGGGGTAACACTGTCGTTTTTTTTTCGGGTCGAAATTTTGAGTTTCGATATCTCAGCTCTGGAAGGGTCTAGAGCCTCCATTTTTGCACTCAGGTCTAAGTCTCATGGCCCTCTATCAGAATCCAGAGTTTTGAGAAGATTGGGAAACTTAATTTTTCGCCCAAAAAAAAAAAACGTAAGGGGTAACACTGTCGTTTTTTTTTTCGGTCGAAATTTTGAGTTTCGATATCTCAGCTCTGGAAGGGTCTAGAGCCTCCATTTTTGCACTCAGGTCTAAGTCTCATGGCCCTCTATCAGAATCCAGAGTTTTGAGAAGATTGGGAAACTTAATTTTTCGCCCAAAAAAAAAAACGTAAGGGGTAACACTGTCGTTTTTTTTTCGGGTCGAAATTTTGAGTTTCGATATCTCAGCTCTGGAAGGGTCTAGAGCCTCCATTTTTGCACTCAGGTCTAAGTCTCATGGCCCTCTATCAGAATCCAGAGTTTTGAGAAGATTGGAGAAACTTAATTTTTCGCCCAAAAAAAAAACGTAAGGGGTAACACTGTCGTTTTTTTTTCGGGTCGAAATTTTGAGTTTCGATATCTCAGCTCTGGAAGGGTCTAGAGCCTCCATTTTTGCACTCAGGTCAAAGTCTCATGGCCCTCTATCAGAATCCAGAGTTTTGAGAAGATTGGAGAAACTTAATTTTTCGCCCAAAAAAAAAAAACGTAAGGGGTAACACTGTCGTTTTTTTTTCGGGTCGAAATTTTGAGTTTCGATATCTCAGCTCTGGAAGGGTCTAGAGCCTCCATTTTTGCACTCAGGTCAAAGTCTCATGGCCCTCTATCAGAATCCAGAGTTTTGAGAAGATTGGAGAAACTTAATTTTTCGCCCGAAAAAAAAAAACGTAAGGGGTAACACTGTCGTTTTTTTTTCGGGTCGAAATTTTGAATTTCGATATCTCAGCTCTGGAAGGGTCTAGAGCCTCCATTTTTGCACTCAGGTCAAAGTCTCATGGCCCTCTATCATAATCCAGAGTTTTGAGAAGATTGGAGAAACTTAATTTTTCGCCCAAAAAAAAAAAACGTAAGGGGTAACACTGTCGTTTTTTTTTCGGGTCGAAATTTTGAGTTTCGATATCTCAGCTCTGGAAGGGTCTAGAGCCTCCATTTTTGCACTCAGGTCAAAGTCTCATGGCCCTCTATCATAATCCAGAGTTTTGAGAAGATTGGAGAAACTTAATTTTTCGCCCGAAAAAAAAAAACGTAAGGGGTAACACTGTCGTTTTTTTTTCGGGTCGAAATTTTGAGTTTCGATATCTCAGCTCTGGAAGGGTCTAGAGCCTCCATTTTTGCACTCAGGTCAAAGTCTCATGGCCCTCTATCATAATCCAGAGTTTTGAGAAGATTGGAGAAACTTAATTTTTCGCCCGAAAAAAAAAAACGTAAGGGGTAACACTGTCGTTTTTTTTTCGGGTCGAAATTTTGAGTTTCGATATCTCAGCTCTGGAAGGGTCTAGAGCCTCCATTTTTGCACTCAGGTCAAAGTCTCGCGGCCCTCTATCATAATCCAGAGTTTTGAGAAGATTGGAGAAACTTAATTTTTCGCCCGAAAAAAAAAAACGTAAGGGGTAACACTGTCGTTTTTTTTTCGGGTCGAAATTTTGAGTTTCGATATCTCAGCTCTGGAAGGGTCTAGAGCCTCCATTTTTGCACTCAGGTCAAAGTCTCGCGGCCCTCTATCATAATCCAGAGTTTTGAGAAGATTGGAGAAACTTAATTTTTCGCCCGAAAAAAAAAAAAACGTAAGGGGTAACACTGTCGTTTTTTTTTCGGGTCGAAATTTTGAGTTTCGATATCTCAGCTCTGGAAGGGTCTAGAGCCTCCATTTTTGCACTCAGGTCAAAGTCTCGCGGCCCTCTATCATAATCCAGAGTTTTGAGAAGATTGGAGAAACTTAATTTTTCGCCCGAAAAAAAAAAACGTAAGGGGTAACACTGTCGTTTTTTTTTTCGGGTCGAAATTTTGAGTTTCGATATCTCAGCTCTGGAAGGGTCTAGAGCCTCCATTTTTGCACTCAGGTCAAAGTCTCGCGGCCCTCTATCATAATCCAGAGTTTTGAGAAGATTGGAGAAACTTAATTTTTCGCCCGAAAACGAAAAAAAACGAAAGGGGTAACACTGTCGTTTTTTTTTTCGGGTCGAAATTTTGAGTTTCGATATCTCAGCTCTGGAAGGGTCTAGAGCCTCCATTTTTGCACTCAGGTCAAAGTCTCGCGGCCCTCTATCATAATCCAGAGTTTTGAGAAGATTGGAGAAACTTAATTTTTCGCCCAAAAAAAAAAAAACGTAAGGGGTAACACTGTCGTTTTTTTTTCGGGTCGAAATTTTGAGTTTCGATATCTCAGCTCTGGAAGGGTCTAGAGCCTCCATTTTTGCACTCAGGTCAAAGTCTCGCGGCCCTCTATCATAATCCAGAGTTTTGAGAAGATTGGAGAAACTTAATTTTTCGCCCGAAAACGAAAAAAACGTAAGGGGTAACACTGTCGTTTTTTTTTCGGGTCGAAATTTTGAGTTTCGATATCTCAGCTCTGGAAGGGTCTAGAGCCTCCATTTTTGCGCTCAGGTCAAAGTCTCGCGGCCCTCTATCATAATCCAGAGTTTTGAGAAGATTGGAGAAACTTAATTTTTCGCCCAAAAACGAAAAAAAACGTAAGGGGTAACACTGTCGTTTTTTTTTTCGGGTCGAAATTTTGAGTTTCGATATCTCAGCTCTGGAAGGGTCTAGAGCCTCCATTTTTGCACTCAGGTCAAAGTCTCACAGCCCTCTATCATAATCCAGAGTTTTGAGAAGATTGGAGAAACTTAATTTTTCGCCCGAAAACGAAAAAAAACGTAAGGGGTAACACTGTCGTTTTTTTTTCGGGTCGAAATTTTGAGTTTCGATATCTCAGCTCTGGAAGGGTCTAGAGCCTCCATTTTTGCGCTCAGGTCAAAGTCTCACGGCCCTCTATCATAATCCAGAGTTTTGAGAAGATTGGAGAAACTTGATTTTTCGCCCGAAAACGAAAAAAAACGTAAGGGGTAACACTGTCGTTTTTTTTTCGGGTCGAAATTTTGAGTTTCGATATCTCAGCTCTGGAAGGGTCTAGAGCCTCCATTTTTGCACTCAGGTCAAAGTCTCGCGGCCCTCTATCATAATCCAGAGTTTTGAGAAGATTGGAGAAACTTAATTTTTCGCCCGAAAAAAAAAAAACGTAAGGGGTAACACTGTCGTTTTTTTTTCGGGTCGAAATTTTGAGTTTCGATATCTCAGCTCTGGAAGGGTCTAGAGCCTCCATTTTTGCACTCAGGTCAAAGTCTCGCGGCCCTCTATCATAATCCAGAGTTTTGAGAAGATTGGAGAAACTTAATTTTTCGCCCGAAAACGCAAAAAAACGTAAGGGGTAACACTGTCGTTTTTTTTTCGGGTCGAAATTTTGAGTTTCGATATCTCAGCTCTGGAAGGGTCTAGAGCCTCCATTTTTGCGCTCAGGTCAAAGTCTCGCGGCCCTCTATCATAATCCAGAGTTTTGAGAAGATTGGGGAAACTTAATTTTTCGCCCAAAAAAAAAAACGTAAGGGGTAACACTGTCGTTTTTTTTTCGGGTCGAAATTTTGAGTTTCGATATCTCAGCTCTGGAAGGGTCTAGAGCCTCCATTTTTGCGCTCAGGTCAAAGTCTCGCGGCCCTCTATCATAATCCAGAGTTTTGAGAAGATTGGAGAAACTTGATTTTTCGCCCGAAAACGCAAAAAACGTAAGGGGTAACACTGTCGTTTTTTTTTTCGGGTCGAAATTTTGAGTTTCGATATCTCAGCTCTGGAAGGGTCTAGAGCCTCCATTTTTGCGCTCAGGTCAAAGTCTCGCGGCCCTCTATCATAATCCAGAGTTTTGAGAAGATTGGAGAAACTTAATTTTTCGCCCAAAAACGCAAAAAAACGTAAGGGGTAACACTGTCGTTTTTTTTTCGGGTCGAAATTTTGAGTTTCGATATCTCAGCTCTGGAAGGGTCTAGAGCCTCCATTTTTGCGCTCAGGTCAAAGTCTCGCGGCCCTCTATCATAATCCAGAGTTTTGAGAAGATTGGAGAAACTTGATTTTTCGCCCAAAAACGCAAAAAAACGTAAGGGGTAACACTGTCGTTTTTTTTTCGGGTCGAAATTTTGAGTTTCGATATCTCAGCTCTGGAAGGGTCTAGAGCCTCCATTTTTGCGCTCAGGTCAAAGTCTCGCGGCCCTCTATCATAATCCAGAGTTTTGAGAAGATTGGAGAAACTTGATTTTTCGCCCGAAAACGCAAAAAAACGTAAGGGGTAACACTGTCGTTTTTTTTTCGGGTCGAAATTTTGAGTTTCGATATCTCAGCTCTGGAAGGGTCTAGAGCCTCCATTTTTGCGCTCAGGTCAAAGTCTCGCGGCCCTCTATCATAATCCAGAGTTTTGAGAAGATTGGAGAAACTTGATTTTTCGCCCGAAAAACGCAAAAAAACGTAAGGGGTAACACTGTCGTTTTTTTTTCGGGTCGAAATTTTGAGTTTCGATATCTCAGCTCTGGAAGGGTCTAGAGCCTCCATTTCGAGATGGTCCTCACTGCAGAACATGAAATCCACGGGGAGGAGTCGGATCCAGAGATCCGACTCCTCCCACTATATATTCTTCGCCCCCACGCGCCTGACCACAACCAGTACCAGCATTTTGATGAAAGTGGTCCATTGTTTGCTCTTATCAGTGTAAGTCTACATTTTGATTATTAATATAATCGCGATAGATTAATAATTTAGTGTGTGTATTTAAGTAAATTTTTGATAGTGTTCATACTTTTTGATAACGCCGAGACATGTTTAACTAGTCCGCCAAACTGCCATCCATAAATGGTAAGTTTAGGTCGTTTTTAGTGTTAACTTGAACGTTATCACACACGTGTAGATGTGGTCTACCTATCTAAAGTAACGTTAGTTAGTTTAGGATAATACTGCTGCTGGTACTGTTTATAGCTAGGGTAAGCTAACATGTGTTGTCAGTCTAGCTAACGTTACTCACTAGCCAGGATATGCATCGCTAACTTCGCAAGAAATAACCTTTGAAATGCATTTAAAGAGCATATTGCAGGTAAAAAAAAAATCGAAATTTATAGATAACCTTGTATGAAAATACCATATGAAAAGTTAATGCAGGATTTAAAATGTTAAACAGATGTTAAACAAAATGATAAACAACAAAATGATAAACAACATAAGGACACTAATTTAGAAGATAAAGTGAGCGTTTCTTGGACTGCTAGTAAAAACGGCTTTTTTTTCAACATCGCGTCATTTGACGTCATAGCAGGGAGCCGCAGCCTCGGCTCAGTGAGAGCAGGCTGGTGTTCAGTGAGAGCGCTCGTCAGTCAGTGTGCTATCGTTAGTTTTTGCATTTTAATTTATCATCGTCATGGTAAATTATTATGTTTGTGGAGATTGCAAAAACTCCAGCCTGTCAGGACTTCAAGATTGAGTCCACAAGTTTCCATTACAATAAAAGGGACGGTGCTATAGCCTATCTTTCGTTCCTGGTGCGGGTTGAGCAGGTGAAGAGACGGGATTTCTCTTCTGCATCGGCTCGGGAAACGCGGTCGTGTGTAGCGTTCACTTCAGATCAAATGATTAGCATCCCGGCGATATGATGGAGTTCAACATGGTATGCCGAAGCAAGAATATTGATCGTGGTATACTACCAATGGCATCAAATAGTGTTATATAGGTTACTAGTCATGTCATGCCCTAAATAAAACTTGTAATTGAAAAACAAAATTGGTTGTTTAAATACTCAAACCTTTAATGTTCTGTTTATGTTATAACCAAGGTGAAAAATATGTATTAAAAATTTACCCGAGTATAGCATGCTTTTAGTAGGCTATAGAAATATACTCAAGTAAAGTTTTTATACATTTAATAGTATATAAATCTACCCTAAACATACTAATGTCTGCTGGCCTGTTATAGAATCTGTACAATATTGTGAGCACAGTGTATCGTTAGGGAACGTGTATAGCCTATAAGCACGCCTCTCACCTAAAAGGCACCTGTCCTGTTCTCCACTGGTTCTCCTCACATCACAGCTCAATTTTTCTCTGACCATTCTGTCTGACATTATCCTGGCCTGTCCCTGATCTCTTTAGCATAGCAGGCTCATAACTTTATGGCTTGATCCGTCATACGAGTATTTCCTCAGCGTCCGAAATGTCATGCGATCCATTGTTTTCCTGTTGTGTGAATCGACCGCTCTCCCGCTCATTGCGTCACGCCCGCCACGCCCATTTTCAGACGCGGAAGTAAAATTCTCTCACGACTGCAGAAGCTTCTGTAGCGTGTTTATACATATATTTTAAAGAAAATCTAGTTCCTACATTGTTTTTCTATGCATTGACTCGTTGGGTCCTCTAACCTGCAATATGCCCTTTAACGTTCTTCATAGATGCACAGAACAGTGTTGCGACATGAGCAGGTTGTCATTCAGAGATGCCAGAGCTGTTGCTGTAATTATCATTGCCCGTTCTGCGGACCAAAAGTTTTCAAACCCACCACAGAACTTCACGTGGTAAAGAATCATGTCTCCAACCACTTATCGTTGGCAGTACAGCATCAAGGCAAGTTGGCATTGATTTTATTTTTTATTCGAAATAATTTAAACGTTTTTCATTATTATACATGTTCTTAATGTTGAAATTACTGTACTGACGTTATCGTTTGCTTATTAGCCTAATTTGCTTTATTTAAGTCTTATAGTGTTGTAATGCTTGAACAACTAAATAACATATTGTTGACCTTTTTTAGCATGCTTCTTACATCAGTCTATCTCATAAGTAAAATAGTCATAATCCCAATAATACATGAATTGTTTATTTAATCAGTTATACCATACCCACATTACCACGACTTATGCCATTATGACTCAGGACATTAAGTGTTATCCCTTTATTTACATTAAAATTCATATATATTTTTTATTTATTTATTTATTTATTTTTCAGAATTCCTTATTGTCAAGTGCAACTTGCAGTGCAGAGTACAGGCACATTTTCACTGTTGCTACTGTTCAAAAACAGTCATAAGGAAAGTCCAGATTATAAAACATCTACAAGTATGTTCAAAAAGACAAGTTCCACCCACAGAAACTGTTGAGACAGCTGCATTCATTGAACCAGTTGCCAGCAGTGAACCAATTATTCCAAGTGAACCGATTATTTCAAATGAAGAAGTTTCCTTTAAAGAACCAGCTGTGGCTGAAGGTGTCTCCTTGCCTGTAAAATCCCTGGCTGTTCTCAAAAATGTTCGTATCCAGAAAAAAGTGCAGTGCGTTCACTGTGGAGTGACCATCAACAAGAAAAATCTTGATGTTCATGTTAAAAGAAAACACACTAAAAAGATCTGTGATGTTACAGAAAATCGTCACCTACCTTCACAGTGCATAGACCCAGTTAATGGTATATATGCAGTTGAAAAGTCATTTTACAGACCATGTTCTGTAATCCATGTCCAGAAAAAAACCTCATGTCAACATCCAGTTGTAAAATGTGAAACCGACGAATGCAGTACCAATGCAGAATTAGCCAAACGAAGTGGCTTTCAGCACTTTGAGTGTATGCATATGAAGTCGTTGCAGTTCTGTCCATGGCCTAACAGGACACCTGTTGTCCTTGAGGAAGATGTCCTGTTAGACATGATATCTGCAAATGTGTTTGGGGAACCGACAAAAACATCATGCATGGTCGCCAAGGCAGCAGCAAGTGCAGCTGGTGTTCCACTGTCTGTTGAGTTGACTATTGGAGGTCCATCTACAAAAAAATACATTTCTGTGTATGAAAACAAAGTCTCGTACTACAGTAGACTTGGTAGAGTCATTGCTTCCTATGACAGCACTCGCAACACGTGGCATTGTCCCTGTGCAAAGCCAAGAAGATCTTGTTTGCACAAAAACATAGCTAGGTGGCATCTCTTCCAGGTACAAAGGCAGTTGTTTACATCATCACCAATTGCCAGACCTGCTCAGGGCCTAGTACAAGAACATGCCTTTCAGGAAAGTACCAGATTGGAATATCCCCCCAGTGGTGAAGGTCTCAAACAAATGGTGTATTACTTGATGAAAAACAAAACACTGCCAGCCGAACTCCCCCAGAAGTACATCACAGGCTCAATGACAATCAAAGACATTCCCAAACACCTTGTGCCAAAGGAGACTGTTTGCTCAGAATGTACAGGCAATGTGGTCCTAAGTGAGCCAGTGTTGATTACTTCCAAAGGAAAGTGTATAACGTACACTGGCATTGTTGAGGGTAAGTATGAGTAAAATACCTATTTAGTGTAACATCACTGTGTTAAGCTGTCTCAATGAATATTTTTAAATTATTTAATTATTATTTTTTTTTTTTACAGGATTTTCTACCTACTACCGCATGTGCAGCAACTGTGGTCTAAAATACCGCTATCAAGAGTGGACTGATGGTCTTCACAATTTTGATGACCATTTGCTGATGTCATTACACATGTGTGTTGTCCTGCGCCATTCACTCCAGGTTTGCTATTATTAAAGGTTTTAATTGGCTTTATGCACAGCTGCACTACTTCCTGAACTTAAGCCAGCAGGCACACCTGGATTAATCAATTTGACCAATAATGGCAGACAGGAAACAAGGAGCTGGCTGAAGTTCAGGAAGTAGTGCAGCTGTGCATATAAAGGCCAATTATATGGTGTTCTTTTAAATTATCTATATGCTAATAACTAATCTTGTCAAAACAGACTCATCATGCCATTAGCAGAGCTGTTGAGGTTTTGGAGACCACAACACAACAGAAATTTCCACGTAAAGAAAAAATCCTTCATGCATATATGCATTTCGAAGCACTAACAGACCATGACTATGCATACTCCTGTGTTAAGTGCGGCTACCATCCCGCGGTTGTTGTGATGGATCTTCACAAAAAGGCGGCATTTAATATGCCTGGTAAGTCATATCAACATAAGAGCTATTAATAATATAAAAAATATTCTATAAACATGTTCTTTGTTTCATTGAGAATTTTTATTACAGTGAGTGAGATTCCTCCTCCACCACCTGAATATGACGGTCAGGTCAATTTGAAAGACTTTTGGACATCTGTGACTGCCGAAGTAGTTTGCCGCGGCCTATTGGGCAGTAAGGAGTTATTTTGTTTTTGTTAGACATACAAGTCTAGCACGTTGCATAATGGATAGCAACAGTTGTTTTAAAATAATTGCATTAAACTCAATTAGCAAGGGAAATTACCAACCAAATGTGTATATTTTAGTTTTTATTTATTGAAATAGTACATTTTTTCAGGTGCCCTTCAAAATCCTTTTTTGGTGTCACCATCATACCACTACTGGGCTCCCTGGATTGGTCCCAACACCAGAAGAGAAGATATTGTTTTAAATACTGAGTATGCCAAGATGCACGCCCCACGACCAGCTACTGAAGATGCCGAACTTCAAATTACAGAAGAGAGGCTAGAAGAAGTGCTTACTGATCTAAAGGTAATTTTTTTTATTTTGTTTTCTACATAAACAAATCAATATATTGTTTTTTTTTTTTATTGCAACCTTGTATGTGCAGGTGGATGTGGTGCGGCGCCTTTGCAAGCAATGTGGTCTGGACCCATCAGGTTCCAAAATGGATCTTGTTCTGAGACTTAGACAGGAGATGAGAAACAGGTCATCTTATGACAAGGTTTTCCAGAAGGTTTGGGGGGCTTCAGGTAGGATTACTTTTGAGAAATATTTTAGTCCATGTAATGTGAATAGTGTTGTGTTTAACACAGGGTATTGCTGTCAATATAAATTTTGTTTAAGACAGCTTAGAATTGTATATTTATTAGCATAACCAAAACATATTTATTATGCTTTTTAGGGGGTTGGGCAGTCATCACATGCCCCTGTGGAGTTGTGTATTCCCTGAAGTTTCTCCTTCGGGCAGAGTCTCCGCGGGACTACGCAGATTGTCTTTTGTCTTTTAAACATTTCCCAAATGTCAATATCTATGACTTTGCAAGGGGCTTAGCCACACACACTAACCTTAGGGAGCCAGAATGTATCCCTTTCAGACCTTATGAGGGACGACTAAAAGAGCCTACTCCAGAAAATATCAAACTAGCTGTTGACGGTCAACTGAAAGTAAACCTCCTTTGGTTGAAGGAAAAGAAGGACAATGTCGATCCAGATTGTCACCCTGTTACAGGTTCAGCTGAACATTATGCGCTTTACGATCTGTTTCATGAAAATAACACAAAAGATGCCCGAGATGCACTGCGTAAAATTCAGATAGTCCCAGAATTGGCAGGCTGGGTGAACAGTCAATGTGCTGAACAGCTTTTTTCTGACATGAGAAAAAACAATTACTTCCTCAACACACTCACTCCATCTGGACACATTTTCATGATGCGAAATATACTACAGCATTACAACACAAAACAAAATAAGAAGATAGAAGATGGCATCAGAAAGATTGTACCACAAAATGCCCAGTTGCATTTAGATGTACATGGCCAAATAATAATGGGTAACTCGATTGTTTATACATTTTTATTCCTGTCATGACTTTTTCTGTTGGTTATAGTACAATTTTTGTTTTGTTTTTTGGTGCTACCCCAGTAGCCACACCCTCTGATGGGACACCTGCAGCCACAGCCTCTGATGGGACACCTGCAGCCACAGCCTCTGATGGGACACCTGCAGCCACACCCTCTGATGGGACACCTGCAGCCACAGCCTCTGATGGGACACCTGCAGCCACAGCCTCTGATGGGACACCTGCAGCCACAGCCTCTGATGGGACACCTGCAGCCACAGCCTCTGATGGGACACCTGCAGCCACACCCTCTGATGGGACACCTGCAGCCACACCCTCTGATGGGACACCTGCAGCCACAGCCTCTGATGGGACACCTGCAGCCACAGCCTCTGATGGGACGGATGGATCCGTGGCTAGGCTGATGCATGCGGAAAGGGAAATAAAAGACTTCCGGCGCTGGGAAGGCCCGAAAACTTTGGTAAATTTCCTTTTGCCAGTATCCAATGGACATTTTCATTGTCATTTCACCAACACTTGTTCGTGATCCACAAAATAACTCAATTGTTGGGTCAGGGAAATTGTGGAGAGTGCTGATATGTATTTTCCATTTTCCAGCATGACTTTGTATTAGATTGCACAAAGCCACAGGACGAAGTAGTCTGTTCTGTTGGCACAACAGTCTTAAGAAGAGCAGATTGTGTTGGTCTGGGAACCAATTGTGAACTGGAGGCAACAGTAAGTAACATTTATATGGTTCCATTATGGTTTGCCTGCGCTAACATTATTCTTTTGCTAGGTTGTAAACTGCTGCCTTTCATTGATCTGCTACCTTGCTGGACAGAAGGTATGTTATGATTTTGCTTATATTTAATACCATATGTGAATGCATAGGTTGTTATGAAAGTTATGGTTTTGATATAGCTATACTTAATCACTTTCATCTGATATTAGGGGTTAGATGTCCTTGCTGTGGATTCCTATGTATTGGCATGTTGGAGTCCACCTCAATGCGTAGACCCCTTTGAGTCACTACCAGTTAGTGGTTATTACTTCATATAATTACAATTTGATTAAAGTAATGTGTTTGTACTCTACACTGTTGTTGCACTATAAACTTTGATCCGTTTAATTTGCTCACCAACAGGCAGATGCAGCATTTAAAGACTGCATCCTTTTTCCTATATGGACACCTGGACACTGGCACTTGTGTGTAAGTTTTGACTGTCAATTGTGTCATCTTTTAGCATTTTAAATAGGTGTTGAAGACAGACCTGTTGCAGTTTTAATGAGGAGTGAGTAAGCAGTAGGTTTGTACATTCCAATGTGAGATAAACAAGACCAATGCACTGTTCTGTCAACATTGTTTTAATTGATTTGCATATATTCACAGGTCATGAAGCCCAAACTTAAAAGGATGTACATTCTTGATTCATCCGATCCTTGTGGTTTTGGGCAGGCGTATTATGTGTCCATGTTCAGGTTTTCTACTAATATGTAGGGACTGTTCTTTGTCCCCCGTTCAGTGCGAGGTTTGGGACTGTTCTTTGTCCCCCGTTCAGTGCGAGGTTTGGGACTGTTCTTTGTCCCCTGTTCAGTGCGAGGTTTGGGACTGTTCTTTGTCCCCTGTTCAGTGCAAAGTTGACTGCTGTTTGTGTACTTTTTAATGTTTGCATGTTTGGTGTTGAGATGGTCCTTGCCTAAAAGATCCAACTGTATCTCTGTCATAAAGACTGAGCCAGAGGTTTTTATTTAGAAATGTAACTATTCTTTTACATTTCTTCAATGCCCAAATCTTTTGAAATTCAGTAGTATGCACAATGTTGGTTTAGGCCTAGTCAACCACTGAAAGAATGGCATTGAAAGAACTGTAACAGTAAAGAACAAAGTGCATGCCAAACTTGCTACTGCAACCCAAATAGCGGGTTTTTCAAAATCGGACCTATAGAGGTGGTTCCTAAGTTTAAAACTGTTTTCAACTTTTAAAAAGTTTTAACTCTGTATCTGTTCTCTTTTGAAGCATGATCGCAACAAAATTGATAGCTGGAAACTGGCAACTCGTTAAGAACAAGGTACATTGCACTCAGCATTCAACACTGTTTTCTGACAACTGTCATCAATACAAAATGTATATAGTATATTTTGGATTTTTGTCAGGATATTCCACCATCGCAGAGAGACCACTTGGACTGTGGAGTGTTCATGCTAATGGTATGTGACAAATGAAGCTTCAAGTTAACCTTACCTGACTTTGGGGATTGCATTTCAAAGGCAATGAGTATAGGAAGAATTTGTAAGTGATTGGAAATGAAAAATTTTAAAATAAATAAATTATGTGTTACAGTATGCACTATACATTACTTTTGAGTGGCCATTTGATTTTACCCAGGTGAGAGCCTTTAATTTATTAGAGACATGTTTTGATGACTCTTTCATTTTGTCTCAGTTTTTGATGTTTTTTT